CTAAACTATCGCCAGATTGTTGCAATCCAAAAGCCAGGGCTCGCTAACGTAGAGGCGGTGAGACCCGAGTGCCCTGCAGCAGCCTCCGGGCCCGGAGCAAGGCTCTCGGCAGGACTTCTGGAAAGGAAACCTGGCACAGGGCCACCCCGGGGCAAAGGGAACGCTGCTCGCCAGGCGCATCCTCGCTGCTCAGCCTCCATCTCCCCGCATCTCTTGGATGTCAACAAATCCGGACCACAAAGTGAAACTTTCCGGGCCCCCACCGTCACGCTGGGTTTCTGCCCTTTGCCTGGGAGCGCGTCGCGGAGACAGGTGTGGGGCCGGGGCTCAGGAGGGGACCCCCGCCCACAGCCCCAACGATTGTGTAATCGGCCCGGGAGCGGGGGCTCAGGACCAGCCCCACGCGAGGATGCGGAGGCGCGGCCCAAAGACCCTGGCAGCAGGCGCGGTGCCTGGAGGTATGGGGGGGATGGGAAGACTGTCGTCCCGCCCCCCGGGACCGCCCCCGGGCGGCAAGGGGAGCAGCGGGGCTGACACAGCCCGGAGGGGGCGCCCGCGCGGCAGAACGATGCCGAGGAGGGGACGCTATGTCTCGGCCGCGCGGCCAGACTTACCTGAGCACCCGGCCAGCCCCGCGGGAGGCGTCTCGGGATGCCAGGGCGGCGGGCAGCGGGCGGCAGCGTTGGCAGCCACCCGGGCCACAGCATGTAAGGAACCGCGGCGGCAGCGGCGGCGGGCCCGGGACTGACAGCCCCAGGCTCCGCCTCCAGGCTCCGGGCCCCGCCCCCTCCGCGGCCGCGCGGCTGGCCCCGCCTCCTCCGCCCACCGCCGGGGTCAAGCTGGGTCCACCGGCCGGGAGGGCGGGGGTGCTCGCTTCCGATTGGCCCTGGAGATACCCATTCCGCCCACTCCCCGCCCACTCCTTGGCAGGGGAGAAACGCGTGCGCAGTAACTGTGACGGGCAACAACGCTGAGTGTTGGCGTTCTTGGTGTCCGACCGCGGGTACCAGGCATCCTTCCTTATCCCTGCCGGCTGGAAGCAGGGATGACCTGAGGAACCAGGAATCAGACTCAAACTCCATAGTGAATTGTCTTTATTCACCTGTGAATGAATCTATGGGAGAAAACCAAACCGGAATGGGAAAAGCTCTAACCAGAGGAGACCCCGAAACTATGAACTGCAATAGAAAATAAGCCACCGGCTTGGACGCATCTGCGTCTAGGGGTGCTTTATCCAAGCCCTGGATTTGCTTCCTGGTCAGCAAGTGTGATGCGTGTGTAGAGTCTAGAAGTTGTGCAACGAGGTTAGCGCGTAACAGCAGAAGAAGTGAGTGATGCTGAAGAAAGTGGTCCTTCTCCAGCCGGTACCTCCTCTTACATGTCCCTCTCTGCCTATCCCTCTCCTCCCTCTTCATTGGTTCCCCGGTACCCTCAGCTTGTAAACAAGATCAAGTCTCTCCAAACTGAGACCCAGCAGTTCCACTCCTAAGTATATACTTAAGGGAATTGGAAAAACAAAAACTTGTGCTCCAACGTTCATAGCATATTCAAAATGTCCAAAACGTGGAAACAATTGGAATGTTCATCGTTTGATGAATGGATAAACAAATTATGGTTTATCTATACAGTAGAATATTATTGGGCGGTAAAAAAAAAGGTAAAGTACTGCCTGCTACATGTTGTAATATGGGTGAACGTTGAAACCCAAGTGAAAGAAGCCAGACACAAAAGACCACATAGTATATGAGTCCATTTATATGAAATGCCCAGAAAAACTCCAGAGACGAAATGGAGATTAGTGGTCGCCAGGGCTGGGGGAACAGAAAAAATGGGGAGTGACTGCTAATGGACATGGGGTTTCTTTTGGGTGAGTGATGAAAATATTCCGGAATTAGACAGTGATAATTAATTGCACAGCTTTGTCAATATACTAAAAGCCACTGAATAATATACTTTCAAAGGGTGAATTTTATGGTATGTGAATTATATCTTCATTAAAAAAAATCAAACTATCAAAAAAAAGCCTAACTCCCTTGACACTGTACCCTTTCCAGCTACTATGCAGTTTCCCAGCTCGTCTCATCCAAAATTCTTACAAGGGTGGCCTACACATTTTTACCCCCACTTCCTCACCTCCCACTTATAGTATATTAGTTCCCCAGATAATGGCTCCTGCCCCCTCCAGAGCTCAAATCTGCTCTCTCCTTAAGTCCTGTTGCTTCCTGAACATTCTTGGTTCTCCTCCTCCTCTCCATTGACCTCCATTGTCTTTTGACCTTCTTTTCCTTGGCAAACCTATTTTAAATATTGATGGTTTCCATGGCTCCTTCCAAAATCCTATCTAGGTTGTATTGTCCCTGAGTTCAGCAACCTGATGTCCCATAGGTTTCTCAAAGTCAGTGTGTCCTAAGAAATTTGTCTTCTCCCCTCCCCTTCTTCTACCTCCCCTCCAGTCATGATATCTATAACTGCATGCTAGGACCTGGGAGTCATCCTTGATTCTTCCCTCTCCCTCCTTCTAGAGTCCACCAGTTTTTATCCTGCAAATGTTTTTAAATCTCTCAGTTCTCTTCTACTTGTTCTAACACAGCCCTAGTCCATCCCTCTATCATCTTTTGTCTTTTAATTCCCTTCATAGTGGGTTGTCGGGAAAGTCATGACACATTTTTGCATTGAAAAACAGAAAAATACATCATGCCTTTCCCGACGACCCAATATTTTTTTCCCCTTCAAATCTATTGGACTGTCGGAAAAGTCATACGTATTTTTTCTGTTGTCATTGCAAAAATGTGTCATGACTTTTCCGACAACCCAATAGCTTCTAAACAGCTGGTGAAGTAGATGCCTGTTCCTTTAGCTGACGTAGCTGACATTTCTCTTTCTTATTGGTAGCAACACCCTGATTTTGCTTTAAGAGCCCACCCTTCTCTATGAGATCTAGGCTTGGTGAAACTGTCAATCAAGATGCTGACTTTACGGGGCTGGGTGTGCGCTCACATTAGGGCAGTACATCATCCTTCATCTGGAATTTGAATCCTGGGCAGAATAACATAAAAACTGAAGTGATTGGACCTGACTCTTCCTAACCAAGGAGATTGTCAGTCAATTTCTGCTATTTCTGTCCCACGAGCTCCTTTCAGAGCCTGGATTCTGCAGCTTTACCTTTAGTTTTCTGATGGATCCCAGATGACTCCAGTGTATTCTTTATTTGAAAGTTAACCAGAGTTGCCTAAAACCATAGAACCTAACTCATACAGAAATATGTCTAAGACACAGCCATGTCTTTACCTACTTAGAACTGTTTAGAGCAGCAGTTCTCAACCTGTGGGTCACGACCTTTTTGGGGGTCGAACAACCCTTTCACAGGGGTCGCCTAAGACCATCAGAAAACAAAAAGATATTTACATTATGATTCATAACAGTAGCAAAATTACAGTTATAGAGTAGTAACGAAAATAATTTGATGGTTGGGGGTCATCACAACATGAGGAACTGTATTAAGGGGTCGCGGCATTAGGAAGGTTGAGAACTGCTGGTTTAGAGGCATCCTGTCACCCATTGGATAGACTCCAAGCTTCCTGACCCAGCCCCTGCCTTCCTCTCCTGCAGCTTCTCTCCCCACTCCCTGCTCTCAGATTTCTACCCTTCTGAATTGCTTGGACTTCCATGGAAACTCGCTGGAGGATGTCATGCCTCAGTGTTCATGAGTCCCCTCTGTGCAGAATATCTTACTGTTTCTCATCGGCTAATTTCAGCCATCCTTTAAGGAGTTCTCCTCCTTCCAAAGCTTCCCTTAGCTCTTCCCTGCTCCCAACATTCTGCCTCCCTCTGTGTTCTCAAAGCACCCTATCCTTCCTCCTATTATTGCACTTCATGTCGTAGTATTTTACTTATGCATTTAATTATCTGCCTCTCCCACTAAATCTGGAGTTCCTCAAGGCGTGGACTCATCTTTTCTGTATTGTTAGTGCTTAGCAGACTGCCTAGCACATGACAGGTGCTCAGAACCCTTCCTTTCTTCTTTGTCTCTGTAATTCTGCATAGGAGTAAGGGATCTCATTGAGGGACATTAAGAAGCATTTTTTCCAGAGAGATGGAAAGGATAAATTCAGGCCTGAGGCATCTTACACAGTTTGTCCAAAACCTGTATTCCAATTCCAAAAAATGCCCCAGAAGACTGACTGACAAAACCTCAGTAAGACTAAAGGTGCTCATTTAAATGATGTAGCTCTCATCTCTAAAATCATTTCAATTTCTCCTGAAAACCTTCATGGCTTAATGAGATGCAAAATTAAGTAACTCAGACAACTGTACTCATTATGATGACTAAATGGCAAGGTGTGATTTTTTTTTCAGAAAATGCCTAGAAGCTTTATGTTATTTCAAGATATTAAAAATTTGCTTTAGCGTTTAGACTTATACACATACACACACACACACACACACACACACACACACACACTCACTTGGTGCCAAAAAAATGTATACACATTTTAAGAAAGAAAAAAACTGTATTAAAATTGCAATACTCAATATATACCAATAACAAAAGATGAATACAAGTCATGTGCATACATTTTTTTTGCACCCCCGGTATACATATATATTTTCCAATTACAGTTGATGTACAACATTATATTAGTTTCAAGTGTACAACATAATGATGAATGGATACATACCTTATGAAGTGATCATGCCATTAAGTCTAGTACCCATCTGGCACTATACATAGTTATTATAATATAATTGACTATATTCCTTATGCTTTACTTTACATCCTCATGACTATTTTCATAACTGGCAATTTATACTTCCTAATTCCTTTTACAAGGTATGTTTTTGTACTTATCTGTAATCACAGATGAAGAATTAACTGAACATGACAAACACATCCATAGTTCTATTTGCATATCTACTGTGAAACATGTATTAATTACCTTAAGTGGAATTATATAGCAATCCATATTCAGATGCTGAATGAGGAGAGCTGAGTTCTAGTCCCAACTTGGCCATGACCAGCTGCTTGACCTTGGGTAAGTCATTGCCCTTGGACATTTGCAGTCAGACTCCCCAGTATCCACTCCTCTATTGTCCCACCATCAGAACCCCAACATTTCTTTGGAAAACCAGTTTTCCTCCATTCTAGCCCATGTGATCTTGTGTAACCTGACCCCAAACTCCAGGAGTTGAGCCTGATAGGCTTAAAGCCATCATTCTATCCCAGAAATTAGTTCAAAGGCAGACATAAAACCCAGTCAAGACAATGAGATTTGAGAAGTCATTTTCAAAGGGCTTCTAACAAAAAGAAGATTCCTCTCCCTGCTGTAGCTCCTAACAATGATGTAAGTTCTAGAATTAACGCAGCCACATGTGACCACAAGGATCCTCGTAGAAACTAGATTGTCAGTCAGTGGATGAATCCTAAGGAAGACAGAATGAAAAATAAACAGAACTTCAGTTACATTTTTGAGCAGTGAGCAGCTAGATCAAGCTATCCCTGAAGCTGATTACCCCACATTTTCCCATTATATGAGCCAATAAATTCCATTCACTGTTAGAGATTATAGTCTTTGACATAAATACTCCTAACAATAACACCTAACTATCTCTCTGGGCCTCCATTTTCTCATAAATAAAATAAAGGTAATATCAATAATCTCTAAGAATTCTGCCAGCGCTCACATCCTGTGAATTTCTGAAAGGTAAATATACTCATAAAAAGGTAAGTACATTATCATTTACTAGTAAGCACTAAGGAAAATAAGACATTCAACCCACCCCACCCCCGAAAGATAGCTGACACTGGAAATGCAGACCTATACCAGACCTGTACCAGGAGTTCCCCTGATCTCCACTCTTTCCCCCTATACTTCAGCCACTTGCTCCTATACCCTGAGAGTGGGGGAAGGGTGGTCTGAAAGGAAGCATATAAGGTGGCCCTGCTTTAGAAGACTTTGGATTTTTGTTGGTGGTGCCCATGGCCTTAGATCCCTTGTTCAGATTCTGACCTCTTCTACCCAAACTCTGACCTGGGCGTGCCCCTGTGCCTTCCCCCCACCCCACCCACACACACACACCCCAGGATCTGACCTCTGAGTCATATATTTAATTTGCCAGCATCCCGTCATGTCTGCATTCTCACCACTGACCACCTTCAATCAGTTGGAAGTGATGGTATACGAGCCAGCAACGCCAGAACACAGATTCATTTATTTGTAGCAACAGGGCCTAGAGGAAGGGGACTGGGATGGTTATTCAGTGGAGGAGAGTCGCTTAATAAAAGAGATGAAGCACTTTAGAAGCCTGAAGGATTAAGCAAATTGATATACTACACAAGCAATTATGTAAGAAAGGTTACACAAAAGAGGATACATAGCCCACTTAAAATAATGCATTGCGACATGCAGTTGTAATCAACATCCTAATTTGGAAAACCATTGCCTGCGTCTCCCTGCCAGGTATTGCACTGGGACACTGGATTCATACCTGAAGGCACTGCATCCCTCAGGAAGAGGCAATATGGAAAGAATCCAGTTTGTTTTTCTGGAAATAGAAATTAAGAGTATGCTGCAGATTAAATTTGCTCTTGATTCTGGTTTTGCAAGATGCATGAAAAAAAGATCATCAGCACGGTTTAAATTAATTCATTTAACATTTTGTGGCCAGATAACCTTTCCATATAAAGATAACTAAGACAACGTTCTTCCTATTCTTTGGGAGCTCAGGAGCTGGACACTAGACCAGTCAGGTTGCAGCAGGACACGGAGCTCATCCCATATGACTCAGTGAAAGGACTCCTTGCAGAGATGTGGGGAGGGATGGTGAGGTTCCCAGACCTGAACCTCAGCAGAAAACCATTAGTACCCCAGAGAATGAAGAGACAAGCAGAGGAAAGTGGAGAACAGGAACTGTGGAGGAGGGACGCCTGGCAGATGCTATAGTCAGGCAGAGATTCTGACAGGGGGATGGCTGCAGAGCAGGAGCAGTGAGGGGAAAGCACCTTGACTTCCCCTGCCTCCCTCCCATTCTCCAATCCCTTGCAAGTGCCCGTCACTGGCTGACCTGAACAGAAAACCTGCGAGCAATGGAGCCCAGATGATGCAGTCGACAGGGATCAGCCTCCAGGGAAAGAATAAAGCAGAGGAAGGGTAGAGAACGGATATAGCAGCATAAAGAACCAATGATCCGTCTACTCCACCCCATTTACCAACCAGCTTCCACTTTTGCCCTTCATTGGAGTTATAAAAATCTCAGCCCAAACGCAAGGAGACACAAGTGTCATCAGCCACTGTATTATTACTGGTGATGTCATTTCAAGTGTCATCCCACCTGGAATCTAAATTTTGAGGTTAGCTACTGTAAGTACTCTTCATATAAAGTAGTAGAGAAAAGGGAAGGCTTGGGGAGGGAGAATCAATTAGCATAAAATAAGTTTGGCTGCTGTAGTCTGTCATGAGGCCACAGCGGATAATCATGGCTTCCTTCTTTCATTGCCTGTTCTATGCTCACCTTACCCTCTACCATCACCTCAGCTGGTAGGGAGACCCAAACCTTCATCTCAAAATAACTGAGCCATTACCAGTCCTCTCTAAATGGGCTGCCAGTTTTCCACTGAACTTTATTATTGGAATGGAAGTTCTAACGAGTGGCCCCACGAGTCCCCTGGGATTAGAATATAGTCTTCTCAGCCCTACTGCCTAGCAGCAACCCAACTTTCCTTTGACAGCCAGGACAGTGGTCCCCGTCTCTTCCTGTTGATTCAATGGCATAAGGAGTCCCACAGTGACCAGGGACAAGCTCAACCTCCAATCATCAGAACCATGGCTGTGTTGCTTGGTGGGAACAGTCCTCTCTTAGAAATCAACCTGTCAACTCCAAGCCTGTCAAGTGCAAGTCATGGAGAGGGAAACAAACGTTCTGTTAAGTGGGGCATGGATTATGATAGTTAGAAGGGCCGCTCCTAACTCCTCTCTGTGGTTCCTAGCCCACGTCTCCTCTTCATGGAGATGACACCAGATATTGATGGCCGGTGTAAAGCACACACTGTACAGGTGAGCTCAAGCTCTGCGTGGCATCGTCTCCCAGCTGGCCTGCTGAGCCTTTCCTGTAGACTCTGTGTTAAGAGACCTTAGAGACTCTGTGTTAAGATGACAGAGATGCTGTCGGTCTTTATCCCTGGATGATGATATGAAGCAGGGCTGCGCACAGATTTTGGAAGTGTTATGTGTGACAGAAATGCATGCCTATATTCTTCAAGCCCTTCTCTTTTGGGGTCTCTTTGTCACATCGTTTTAATATTACTCTAAGATAGCGATTTTGGCTGTTAGCACAACCTGAAGTTGTGCCCTTTCTGGGTAGGTTTCTGGGAGGCGGTTGGTGGGAAAGTGGAGAGAGAGGGGAGCCTCTGGCTCTAGAACCTGGGCACCTTCCCTGCCAGGGAACCCTGTGCCTCAGAAACCACCCTGTGCTTCAACTCAAGCCACTGCCCTGGCTCGTGTTCTCCCTCGATGATGGAGGGGAGGGTGGGAGAAAGAAGGGACACTTAGAGGTCAGTAAGGATGCTCAAACCTGCTTTGAATCGCTCCCTGCTGGATCCAGTGCATTGCTGCTTCAATATACCCACCATCCCCAGGCAGCACTAATGTGGCCCTGCTGTTGCTCTGCCTTGAAGGGATGAGGGGTTGGGCAGTGATGTGCCCAGGGAGAGAGGAAGAATTCAACTCGGCTGAAAAGCTTTCCCCTGGGCTACACCCCATCTCCTCCACAGCCCTCTTCTGTTGTTCTGTGTTGTTAATCACCCAGAAACCTCAACTTTCTGGGGATTCTCACGGTCTTTTCGATGGTTTCTCAGACTCACCGACCTCCCTCTCCCTTCTGTGGCTTTGTCAGGGAAGGTTGAGCACTGGTTCCCTGTCCTGTGCTGAGATGAGGCTTCAGCGGTAGAGAGGAGACAGGTCATGGAGAACCTGCAGCAGGAGGAGGCAGAGGATTAATAGGAAGGCAGGTACAGAGTGGATGACTCCATTTATATGAAATTTCCTTAATAAGCCTACCCATAGAAACAGAATGCAGACTTAACAGTTTCCAGGAGCTGAGGGGGGGCAGAATGGGGAGTGACTGCCCAGTGGGTGTGGGGTTTCTTTTGGGGGCGATGAAAATGTGCTGGAGCTAGGTAATGGTGGCGATTATACAGCATTGTGAGTGTACTAACTGCCACTGAACTGTATACTTTAAAAATGGCTAAAACGGTGAATTGTATGTTATGTGAATTTTATCACAACAAAAAAACAATAGCCGGGCAGTTGGATTTTATTCTAATTGGAGACAGAAGACACCAAAGGGTTCCAGGGTGAACCTGGCAGTGACTGAAGTAAACAAAGCTGTAAGAGAATCATTTGACCTTGGAGTACTTCTTAGAGCATCTGTTCCTTGCAGCATGGGGAGGTGATGGGGATGGAGGCAAGTGAGGGAGAGAGCAGGCCGAGGACAGGATGCTGCTGACTCCAGAAAGGGGAGAGAGCAGATACCTGGGCAATACACCTTTCCTAGATTTTCCTAATGTCATGGATTTTCTGTTGTTTCCATTCATTTGTTTTCAATTGCTCAGCATTCTATCACCTTCGTATTTGGGGAGAATTTAGGAAGGAGAGATTCTCCTTTGTAAAATCTTGGTTAGAGGTAAAGACTTTCTTCTCAATCCGCAGTCTGAGAAGGTCAGAGACATTCTCTCCATGCCCTGCACCCCCACCTGCCAATCGGGCTGGATCTCAGACATCTGACCCTGCTCAGCTAATGGGGTGCTCCCTCTGGGACTTGCAATCATGGAGAGTGATGCAAAGACACAGAAGCAGGTAAGAGACCACTCACAACAGCCAAGCCCCAGGATGAGTGTCCAGGGGTGGCAGTAGGGGGCAGAGTATGGGGCTTTGGCATTGAGTGTCCAGCGGCAGCTGCATTGGGCAGCATTTTCACCACACTGGCCCTGAGGGGTGACCTTGGCTGTGTAGCCACTGCCTGGCTTCTTGTTACCTTCTGAACCTGGTTTGCCTGGCTCCCTTCAATTCTCCAGCTACCTGATAGCCTTCAATAAATTCCTTGACTGCTGAAGTTAGCCAGAGCTTGATTCTGTTCCTTGTAACCAGGAACCCTAACGTTGATGTCGTCTTCCCCGCCTCCCTTCAAAACAGGAAACATGGTGCATTCCAATGAAATGCCCATGGCTCCTTGTAAAATGGAAGAGCTGTCTGCACCTTGATTCTTGTGTTTGTGTGCATTTCACTTTAAACATTACAGATGTGGAAACAAAATGCATTTCCATGCACTGGATTATTGTAACTATGGTGATGGGCAGAAAAAGCACTGCTCTAGCAGTGAGAAGACCTGGCCACATTAATTGTGCAACCTTGGGCAAGTCTGTTTCTTCTCTTTTCAGGCTGAGATGAACTGTGAGCCCTTGGTCCGTCCTTAAGATTCTGTGATTTGGGCAATGCATAGGAAATATTTCATATTAGCACCATGCCTAGGAAAAGAAACTTCTCTCTCACAAAGAAGCTCCATCTGATTCAGTGTCGTACAACTAAGACAGCTTCAGTTGTCAGGCTTTGCTTCATCTATTAAATAATGCCAAGTCTTTTCGACAAGCAACACAAGTTAACACCAGCCTCAGCTCTCTGTGGGGTGTGCCATCTGCAATAATACTAATGAGAGCTCACACTTGGAGAGTACTTTCTACACGCCAAACACTGTTCCAGGAGCCTTTCATATATTAATAGCTCATTTAATCCTTACAACCACCCCATGAAGTAAGGGTTCTGATTACCCCTATTTTACAGATGAAGAAACAGAAGCACAGAGAGGTAGGGTACCTTGCCCAAGGTCACACAGCTAGTAGGTGCTAGAGCCAGTATTCAAACACAAACTATCTGGTTCCAGAATCCAACTGCCTTAGAGGTGTGTGTGTGTGTGTGTGTGTGTGTGTGTGTGTGTGTGTGAAAATTCACATAATATAAAATGTACTATTTTAAAGTATACAATTCAGTAGCATTTAATATACTCACAGAATCCATGCTTTTAATGATATACTATACAGTAAAACCTTGGATTGCGAGTAACTTGGTTTGCAAGTGTCCCACAAGACGAGCAAACATTTCTAATACACTTTAACGTGGTAAATGAGCGATGTCTTACAATACGAGTAGTTTGTTTCTAGAACGAATTATGCTCACAAACCAAGGTATTACTGTACTGCCAAAATGATATATATCATCAAATAAATAAACTCAACTTACCATCAGTTTTATGGATCAAGAATATAGTGAGATGGAGTGGTCATTTCTGTCACCCACACCCCTGCACTGGATGGCAGCAATGTCATTTCCCCATGAAGATTAGAGTGTGGTGTGATTCATGGTGGTGTTGAGATTCTAGGTCTAGGCCACTCTTTGCCTCCACAAAGGCCAGGTCTAATCTTCATCAGCCTGGAAGGATGAGTGTCCACCATGTTTTACCACTTCAGTGGAGGCGCTAGCAAGGGAACCCCACATTTCCTCAGAGGGCCAAGTCACACTCTTTAATGACACCTCATAGCCGGAAAGTCCTGACCTACATCCTCTTTCACTTGAAAACTTTCAATGTTGGGGCCAGAAGCGGAAGTGGAAAAAAAATGATGGGTAACATTTCTTCTGTGATGATCCTTCATGTTGGGTGCCTGGACCACCAAGACCTGACGATGTGGGGCCTTGGAGCAAATTATCCTACTTCTGAGGAGTCACCCCCATGACATGTATTCACTCAGCAAATATCAGTGGCAGATGCTGAGCTGACCCCTGGAAGCAGGGAGGGTTGGAGAGGGAGCTGGGTGGGCAGGTGGGCAGGTGTTGGGCCAGTGGTTCTCATCCTGGTTGGGCAGGAAGTCAACTCATGGAGCTTTTCCAAATCCAATACTCACTCCCACCAAATCCTGATGTCCATGTAGAGGCTGGAGTGGCCAGTGGATTTGGGGACATGTGTTTCAAAAAATCTCTCCCAGATACCTCTCATTTTCTTATCCCCACCACCACCATCACGGCCCAACTCCAAGTGCACTTTTTCTTTCAGAGCCACTGAAATTGGTGATTTCTGAGGAAACTTTGTCTAAAATTCTGTGGTTCATTCATTAATATAGTTCTCAAATCAACACAAGCACCAGAGTTACAGGGTGAATAACACCTAGGCAGACTAAAGGCTCTGCCTCCTGGAAGCCCTCCCTCTGGCTGGGGCAGAGAGACAAGCAAGCCAACAGCATCCATAGAACATGAGGAGCCTGGCATGCAGGCGAGCATTTTATGAACTGACTGTCCCTCAGGACACAACTATCTCTTCTTCAGCACACATGACGCCTTCGCCTTCTTTACAAAGCTCCTGCTTGCCGATGGTTGAATACCGCTATATCATGAACATCTGACAAGTTCTAAACCTAATGCATCTACCTTCCTCCTGGTTTCAGATGCAAAGCACATCCTCCACAACACCACACATCAGTCCCAAACCCTGCATGCTAACGCGTCTCTGCCTAAAGGCCATTTTAATGAGGGACTTGGTGCAGGCATCAGCTCGAGTACATTAATATTCATGCTTAGTATTTGTAAAAACCTTTGTTGCAATCTCTTGTTTCTGTTAAGAAGGAGTCTTAAAATGGCTAGAAATTCCCAATTCCTGTTTATTCTATCTAGGCCTCTATTTTCAGAGTATTTTCTCTCTTGGCTTCCATTATTTCATCAGAGTTGGCAAGGAAAGTTAGTTCTGCTCCTGTCCAAGTGTTAAATGGATACTCATGTGTCTTTTTGCCACATTGGTATAATTAATTTTATTGCAAATAGGATTTTTCTTTTTTTCCCCTTTGCATGCAAATGTGGTACCCTTTCAGTGTTTGCATAATAGCAGTAATTCTTTCATTTGTACAAAAGAACATGCATTATTTTGGCAGATAGATGGAGTTTTGATGGGGAGATTATTACATTTCCAAAAGCAAAGAGAATAAATCAGAATTTATCCAGACACTGACTAAACACCCCCATCCCCCAACTGCACTGATCACGGGCCAAGTGTCTAACAAACTCCACTTTCCTCCCAGAGAATAAGCCTTGCAGAACAGTAGGGCCTAGCTGGCTCGTCTCCATGCTCAGCCCTGCTCTGTGGACTGCCCCACCTGGGCTCCCTTGTCCTCTGGCTTCTGGTTGGGTTTGGCTCATGGGAGGCAGCAGCATGAGAATGGAGGACGGGAATAAAGGGAGGCTGGGCTATTTACTCTCCCTGCTCCCACCCTGCTTGCCATGGGTCAGGCAGTGGCTGTTCTCCTCCTAGGCCATAGCTCCCATCCAGTAGGCCCACGTTCCCAAGTCCAGCTCTCACTGTGCTCTGGTAATCCCTTTCTTCTCCTTGCTGCTCTAGGCTAGACCATGGCATCTTCACTACCCCATGTTGGCTGACCTGCCCACATCCATATAAATAGTCTTTATGTTCAACCCCTTTGAGTGTACCATCTCCTTCCTGCCAGGACACTCAGAAAACCACCATATTCCTAAGACTTAGCATAGTTCACTAGACATACACACACACACACACACACACACACACACACACATACACACAATTCATCGCACTGGGAAAATAATAAGGGAACTCAAAACTACTGAGGCATAGCAGCATCCATATGTCTCCACAGAATATTTAGAAATTCCATGAAGTGGAAGAGAAGTTTGCTCCAGGCATGTCTAACTTCACTGCAGTCATGTCAATGACTGACACTGTTGGTTTTGCCTGCCTGTCACTCATCACTGGTTTCTGGTCCCAGCCCCCTGATTTTCCTTGAGAAACCATTCTTCCCTTCCCTGGGTACATGGGGACTGGGTGGGCTTTTCGCGTTCTCGGCTTAGAGGAAAAGGGAGACTCTGGCTGGATGGCCGCTCAGGG